ATTTCAAATTCATACAAATATATCGCTGAACGCTATATAATCTGAATTGGAATAGCATCATTAAACAAACGAAATTACAGCAAACAAGTGCCTGTAATATTTGATTGGTGCCCCTTTGGTCGAGATTAAATGATGTCACCTTGGTTTTCTGCTGGTTCCGTGCTCAGAAGGATAAAAAATATATCGGAAAACAAGACCATGCTCCAAACTGTTTGCCTCACCAAATCCGTTGTCATGACAACACTGCAATCAAATACTTCAGAATTGCGTAAGGAAAGATACAACAGCCGAAATAAGGATGGAGCGGGAAAACACAGGAGGAGTATTTTCGAAGTTGAAATATGATGCTGCCTGAACACAGAAGGGGAGGCAACTCTCTGGATCCGCTGCCCAGAAAGACAAGTGGTTGGTAGGTTTGGACGTCTTCAACTTTTCTACTCATCTTTTCGAGACATCAGGCTTTGGTGAAGCATTGGTAAGATCCGTCCAAGAATCATAGCGATGTTGCCAGGCTGCACTGTTGACACGCGTGTCTGCGTAATTTGCCATTCCTTCTCTTCGTTCGAGGACACTGATTTACTTTTCTTTATAAAATGTGGATCTATACATCCACTCGCCCATACGCAGAGGGACAACTTTACCTTTTTCATACTGAATACAATTTGGGTTTGATGGCTTTTCCTGTCGACCACGTTTCATAAATGTTGTGAATCATTTCTAGATTCGCGTTTTCCGTATAGAATCACAATGTTGTTACTTTCGGTCCTAAACAAAATATGAATCCTTCCTGAAAGGTAGTATATATACAGGCTGATTCTAAATTATTGTTGGGGTTTACGTTTATAAGCCACGGAAGCCCCGACAATAATTTAGAATCACTTTGTATTTATGCCCATCGAAGTTCTCACAAATACGAGTAAAAAATTACGGAAATGTCATGGCGTTAAGCATTCAGATGTTGTCTAAATTCTCGAAATAGTACATCATCTGTATCGAACTTGAGATCTGCATGACAGTAATGATCCGCAACTGTAATTTCCTGTCGTGTGACACCGTGCACTCTGGTATATGGGTACCAACCCTTCGGAAAACACATGACCGCCTGTCCCTGAAGACGGCTGGAGTATACCTTCACTGAAACGTTGGTATCCGTGTACCGGACTGCACGCACCACGCCCCAGAACGCAACAATGATGATAACTTCATTGGCCTGCAGTTATAAGATTTCACGTTTTCATGATGATGAATTTCAATAATGCCATCTTCTGGGAGGGGACCATTAGTAAGCCTGATGAAAGTATACAAACGTTTCGAAGGACTCTACTGCCTCCATCATCAGAGTCGAAGGGTTAAGCCAAGCAAATTACCAGTAAACAGCATCCTGCTTGCTGCTTCTTCGGTTCAGTTTTTAACCCTGAAGATAAGAGCAGTGTGTTTCTCCGAAACGTCAGCAGACGTCGGTCAGTACAGCAGGTGTCGCATCCCAGACTACAGTATTGCTCATGGTTTATGATTCTGGGGACAGATGGGCTTGCATCGAGCAGGTTAATCTAGCGGTACTTCCCCTCACTCATATCTGGGAGTGCTCCGTTGTTAATATCGGCCGAACACTATGCTGACTGAATTTGTTGTGGTTCTCCGCCGTCCCTTGAGACTAGGTCACACTCACTTCCTTCCAAATCTTTACCAGGTCACCATTCATCTACCATTCGACGCTGTATAGAATCGTTAAACAGCCACAAACAGACCTATTTTAATATTGTCACTGAATGCTTCAAATACAAAATTCCACTCACGTTTACACACAACGTTTCATGAGGAACCGAAGGATGAAAAAGAATAGTAAATACGTACAATATTTTGTTCTGTCGCCAGTGCTGGTAGTTCCTTATCCGAAACAAACAGCGCATTAGAGCAGTTGTTATTTTTCAGATATGTTCATCATTAAACCTTCATCTCCCTACAGCCATTCAGTGACAATGTTCCTTCTTCCCATCTGCAAAGTTTGCGTGGTCGCCATGTTGTATTCACCTGAGTAACTGAATTAAATATGGCTTCAGAAACTCACTGGATGACACCTGGAAGGGCAGACGCGTGCACACGTAGCTACTGGACCCACAAAACGAGGAGAATTTGTTGCGAATTTGTTACAACGGATTTAGAAGTGGATCCTCGCAAAGTTACGGGAAACATGCGGATTATTCATGGTCTCCACGAAACGTCCTCACAAGTCACAAAAGTTACTACGTCAAGCTACTTGCGTATTAACGGATAATCCAAGTAGCTTTGTACTTTAACGATGTGTACGAGTATAGCCTCGTGTTAGTGCGTCCAAACTTAAAACTTTATTTGTAGAAATAAGAACCAGGGCAGAAACTTCGAATTTGACTCCAATGACAGGCCCACAGAGTTAGGCCTTCGGTTTTCTTTTTAAAATTTCGGGCCTTTGGTGCCTAGATTTGAAGTGCAGCATACTGACGATGGGGTAAGGGAAATGTCGAAAACTTTGGCCTTCGACTGGAAGGTCGCCCTATGATATATTATCAATCCCTAACTGTCAATTTCTGAAATGTTTTCAGATATTCCCCCGCAGTAGTTAAGACTCCATGGCTTTATTTCCGAAATCCATCCTCGAGACAAAGCACTCATTCTGAATAACAGATCTGATTGGGTAAGCAATACCCATTACAGGTATTCTGACACTGTGCCAGGAAACAATTAACTGACTCTAAGGAGATAAGCACCTCTTGAGAAGCCGCCAGTTGTGCAGCTACTCAAGAACTTCCCAACATTTCATGGGACCCGAAGGTTCATTACCGTGTTCACAGGAACTCCCCACCGGTCCCTATCCTGAGCCAGATCGATCCAGTCAATGCCATCCCAGCCTGTCACATGAAAAAATTTTAAGATAAAATTAAAATTAGTTGCCTCTACTTACAGAGTTAAACGAACAACCCTAATGATTGCGTTGGATTGGAACCCACTAGTCCATGTTCTAGTCATGTGGCTGTTGCTGTGACAGCGGCAAGAGGACTTGAAAGGCCTCTACAGCCCTTGTGGGCCTTGGCCGCTTTTTTAGTTTCTTAATCTATACAGTCGGTAGGACTCTTTGGATGGGGGATCAGCACCTCCTAAGGCCAATACCTACACACAGATATCACTGCCTGGAATGGGATTCGAACACACGACCCCAGTGTTCGAGCGGGCGAAGACAATTCACGCATCAGACCGCGCGGCCACTGTGATCGGCTAGTATATTTGTCTAGAGCAGTAGTCCTCAATCTTTGTGAGGCCGCGGACCGGTAAATTCTTTTTTTATATGTCGAGGGCCCGGTATCGGGCCGCGTCCCAGCGGTTGAGAAACATTGGTCTGGACGGTAATAATAATGTTGTATTTTAGCGTCCTGTTGCACTGATTTTCATCCATGATATGTTTACAGTTGCCGTCTTGTAGTGCACTCTGTGTAAACCGTGTCTTGTGATGTGTGTTCCCTTCTTAGCTGCTACAACAATAGCAGCTAAGAAGGGAACAAACATCACAAGACACGGTTTACACAAAATATAAGAAAAACGACCCCATAGTGGAAGAACCACAAACAAGTTTTAATTATGACACATAAGATGAATAATCTTAACAAGTTTTAGTGTGTGTAAATTCATTATAGTTGACAAATATGCACTTTTTAAATAATTTTATAAAGGCAAGCAATGAAATAGATTAGCGTAATTAGGGCACCTGATGATGGCACTATGTTGCCGAAACATGTCGTGAAGTAACAGGTGAAATTGAGTGCACTACAAGACGGCAACTGTAAGCATATCATGGGTAATAATAGTTACAATTACAAGCGACGCAAAGATGATTACAAGATCCGTGGATTCATATAACTAAACAAATAATAATAATAATAAGTATTCCTTATTATTCATTTCCACTTCACGGGAAAGGAAATACCGCCGGTTCCGACTTAACATGTTCATTCCGTCTTTCCAAGGTTTTCCTCGGTCTCGGGGTCACTTTGTTGTATGCTGCAGAGTCTGCTTCAGTATTCTTCCATCCGTCATTACATCCAAATGGTCTGTTCAATTTGTACGTGTTTATACGTTTTATTTCTCTGTCCCCCCCCCGCCCCCGACAACAAAACGATAGAAAAAGTGAGTGAATTTCAATATCTTGGGTCCAAGGTCACCTGTGATAACAATATTGATGTGGAATTTAATCATAAACTAACCATGGGAAATGAATGATGCAGAATTTACTTAAAAAAGAACTTCTAAGAGAAGGTAAATGTAAAATCTATAAAACCTGCTGTACTTCAGAGCAGTGAGGGCTGGACACTCACTAATTTGAATGAAGATAAACTGAAATTTTTTGAAAGAAAAATTCTAAGGAAGGTCTATGGCCCAAGCTATGCGTGTGGGGCGTGGAGAGCAGAATGTAACGATGAATTATATAAATTATTCAAAGAACCAAATATAGCGCAGTCAATAAAATAAACAGACTGGAGTGGCTAAGGCATATCAGAAAGATGGATGAAAGTTTGCTCTGCAGGAAATTAACCTTCTCCTAGCTAGAGAGCAGAATTAAGGTGGCTGGTTCATGTACTGCAAGACAGGGCCAGTTGGAAGGGTCACAAAGGGCTATAGCGCAGATAAGAAGCAGAAGCATACAGTCTTAATGCTGGTATTAACTAATGTGCAATAGGCCGTATGCTCCTACTACAGGGGTGATACATCTTTGTGTAACTAAACATTTTTGAGCCAACGAGTTGATCATGATGTCAAAAAAGCAACAAACAAGCGGTGCCCGGTTACAGAAATACAGTGGGAATATAAAATGAGATTATTTGAATAAAACGTAATTGTATTAAGGCCATGAATATGCATGGGGTATGCAGGAAGCCTATGTAATGGGAATTAAAACGGGCGACAATGGCATCGTTGTACACACCACTCCCCGATAAACCACGCTTAACCTAAAAATATGTCTCTTATCTTACCTCAAGAGAAGCAAAGCTCTACGAGACTGCGTAGATGGGACCTTCATTCGAAGACGAGCGGCCAAACATATACCAAAGAACGTTTCCTTGTCACACAACTTCATAGAAAACACGAACTCAGCATTTCTTCCGTAACAACACAGCGGACTATCAACACATGGCGGCCACTAACGCGCGCGGGAGAGGAACGGAAATGGAGTAGGAGTGGGGGAAAGTTAGACCGAGAGCTCGGGTATCGATAGCGGGAGGAAACGTTGCGACTCTCGAATCATTCATATTGGAGTACTATCGTTCACTGGTGTCTTATATCAGAGCAAGCCTTCAACAATTTTTATTCACAACTTTTGTCTTTCGTGCGGGTTTTTTTTTTACAAACGCGTCAATATCCAGATATATAACGCCGAATGGCAGGTTTATTGCTGAATAATAAACTAAGATTTGTAAGGAAACGATAAGTGCCTAATCGAGGCACAACCCGATCGCAAACTTAATGGAACTTACGGGAAAGTCGGATTTGAGTTCGTCTACTCGTACTCGTCCAGAGCCGGTACAGCTGGGATGTCTGGTTAGTTTGGTTACAAGCAGTTACACAGATATGTTGCCAACTGTCATTCAAAACAACGCTGTTCTTGAGACAGTAGTCGTTTGGAACTAGGCACTGACTAATACAGGGAACCACAGAACTGGCAATAGTCCAAGGACGTGAAATAGCACACAGTTTATGAAAATTCATCACAGAAAAGGCAGTTGTGGATATGTGCCAGGGGGTAAGGACGTAAGAGATGTTAAAATCCGTTACCAGGAAACGATTAGTGAAGACTGAGAAGGCTGTGTGCTGTAGTGTGTAATTCAGGGAGACTTACAGTTATTTGCAGTTACGATCTGTAAGTGGTCAATAATCCAATTATCAATTCAGCCCCGTCTATGGACACTCCATGCACGTGAAAATATACATAAAATTTAATAAATCGATATGAAATCGCTGGAATTGCGCAATTTCAGATTACAAGTTGAACGAAATAAAGATTATTTTCATTTCATGCATCGTGTTGTGTTATAATATACAATTTCTTTATTAAAACCGTCACAACACAGCTATATTTAGGTGTATATATGTTGGCCACGTATTGGCCTGATGATGGTTTTTGATAGATGAAACATGTAGCAGAACCAAACTTGGCACTGACCTTAATATAGTTGTGTTATGACGGTTTTAATAAAGAAATTGGAAATAAAGATTGTTAACATGCTGTATGTTATGTAGTAGCCGGTCACGGTAGCTCGCTCGGAAGCCGGGATCGTGGGTTCGAATCCCACTCAGGGCATGGATGTTTGTGTGCGTTTCTCTGTGTTTGTCTACAGGTAGAGGCCTCGCGACGAGCTGATCACTCGCCCAAGGAGTCCTACCGAATATGTAAGATCTAGTAAACCGAAGTGAAACGGAGAGTTTCATGGAGGTAGGCCTAGGCCCAAATTGGGGCTGTAGTGCCACAGAAAAAAAATGTTATGTAGTAACTTACGAACGAGAGTGCAGTGTTTGTTTCACTGTATCATGATTATTTTGTAAGTATTTTGATGTGGATCGGTGCAATGTAATGCGCCATATAAAGGGGATTTACGATTGACAATTCGTGGGTGTCACTGCTTGAAAGTCGGCTCCAACGCATCAGTCGATAACATGTTGAGTTAGAAAAGGATGCGTGAGAAATTCAGTAACAGGAACGCCGCTGCAACTGTGTGTAACACAAGCATTCTGTTATTTCTGTTAAGTTGGCAACGGGAGAATATCAATCCTTATGGGACAGCCCCCACCCTAACTGACGCACACGTCCATTTGTAGCGCCGAAATCTTGGGCGATACCAGCGTCTAGACAGAAAGTGAAGTTACATCGCGCGTCTGTGGTGCTTGCTTCATTGGCTAACTGCACAGTTTCTATATCGCGAATGAGGCTTTAGCAGGAATTGACCGTGGCCTATTTTAAATACAAATGTCAGAATTTGCTACGAAGACCGAAGAGAGCCTAGATGATGTAGTGAAGTCTCAGGATAAGACGCAAACTGGCCGGAATTCGAACCGAGTACCCCTCCCCATCCCAGATTTTGTTACCGCGTTACAGCTGCGCCAGTTTTCCTGTCCAGCCTGACAGAAGAAGCGGGTTACAAGTTAGAACGTTCATTTGTCCATGTTTGAGCTTGTGTGCAGCTGATCAGCTAACAGACTGTTACCCGGGGGCTCTAGAAAATCCGTCACGAATGCGCAGTTCAGGGAATTTGCCATCTGATTGACCCTTCCCTCATTCAACCCAATGATCATTTGTGGCATGTGTGTTCCAGTTTAAGTGCGTAGGGGACCAAGTATATAAAACTGAGATGGTTAATAACTAACGGCCGTGGGTTGGATTTTCAGTCGCTTTACCTCTAGGCGAGAGGAAAACGTCATTTGCAACGGACAGCGAGTAGATGCCTGCTTCAAAACAATAACCTAGCCTGAGAGAATGAGGAAAACCACGATTACTCTCACTGAGGACAGCGAACATTCGGGCTGAGATTCGAACCCGAAACTTCGCGAATAAAAAGAGACCGTTTTCCCGCGATATTTAGTAAACTCTACTGACCGATTTCCTGGAAGAACCTAAATTAATACAGTAAATTGTCTTTCGTCTCGATTAACCGGGGGGGGGGGTTATCCAGATTAAGAGATAATCCGGATTATTGAAGCAAAAGATAGCCCTAAAAGAAGAAAAATGAGGAAATAAATTACCTTAAAATTTAATAATATAGGTAGTGCTGATGGAAATAAACACATAATATCACTGCAGCAATTTCTTCCTCTGTCAGAAGCTCAAGCCAGCCTTGGATATTTGCTTGCGTGGTTTCAGTCTCTCCAGCTGCCCTCAACTCAGTCTGAAAGTCCTCTCGCTCTGTCAGAAGCTGAAATCCAGGGCCTCCTTCATCCAGCTGAAGCCAATCTTGGATATTTCCTTGCGCGGTTTCAGTCTCTGCCCTCAACTCAGTCTGAAAGTCCTCTCGCTCTGTCAGAAGCTGAAATCCAGGGCCTCCTTCATCCAGCTGAAGCCAATCTTGGATATTTCCTTGCGCGGTTTCAGTCTCTGCCCTCATCTCAGTCTGAAAGTCCTCTCGCTCTGTCAGAAGCTGAAATCCAGGGCCTCCTTCATCCAGCTGAAGCCAATCTTGAATATTTCCTTGCGCGGTTTCAGTCTCTGCCCTCAACTCAGTCTGAAAGTCCTCTCGCTCTGTCAGAAGCTGAAATCCAGGGCCTCCTTCATCCAGCTCAAACCAATCTTGGATATTTCCTTGCGCGGTTTCAGTCTCCGTCCTCAACTCAGTCTGAAAGTCCTCTTGCTCCTAAATCTCACGTGTCTTTCAAAGTATGTACTCAAGTGTGAACGGCATTTTTCTACGTATATTTTGATCCGAATTAACTATAATCGGATTAGAGACGGTTTGCTGTAAATCAGGCGTTAACCGACAAAATCTAAAGTTGGCGGACAGTTGCCTTGGTACATGCTGAAATTGGTCGCCTTCCGCCTCTAGACACAGGGAAACACAGACTGCAGCAAATGGCGCAAACTGAGGAGGCAGGCGCCGAGTCACTGTTGCTAAGTAACGTACACAGTGCTGCCAAGTTTCGTTTCCATCGGTATATTATTGCGTGGTTTACGAGTATAATCACCGATTCAGGGCCACTGCGGAATGGATCATCTGTGACCATTCTGAAGTTATTAGGGGATTAGGAAAATAAAGGGAAGCACATGTGGCGCTTACATGTAATCACAGGCTTTACGAAATAAGGAATATCGGGTGAAAGTATAATATTGTGTTAATGATCCTCACAAGTTGGTGATTTAACATCGCCTAACACTGCCACTGCTTACGTAACCTCAGAAAGTAATGCCTTCAGCTGAAGGAACATTCAAATTCAGCGATGTATATGTCTAGTTATGTGAAGGAAGACAGTTGAGTCTTATGCGCTTGTGGGTCCGTATACACACACTGACAGATATAAATCAAGTTGTGAGACGCGTGCTCGAAATTCAGACGTCTCTACAAATGTTATACAGCCCCAGCGCATTCCACACAACTGCTCAGTCCTGATCTTCAGACACAAACGGTGAATCAGAGAAGCGAATATTGAACAGGAAGTCCTGGAACACTGGGAAGACTCCCGACCTCGTGCAGGCGTAAGCTAGCAGGTCGGGACTGTTACAAATCCTAATTCTACAATTTCGCATGTGAAAGTTTCGTAAGACCGAGATTTATCATTGCCGTTTCGTGTTATTGGATCAACGAATTTTCGAGAATTAATGTTCCATAAGCTCAATTATGTAGGAGATCAGGCACAAGGGAGTGGTTTATTTTTTCAGAACATTGTACGTGTATATATTCTGTGGCCACTGATAATGTTTTAATGTGGACATATGAAATGTGCTACGTTATGTAAAGAAGACTGAGTATTTGTGTGTGTTATTCGTGGGCGATGGCATTAACATAAGCTTCGACGTATCAGTCGATACAATGCAGCATGGATATCTGTGTGCGTTTATTCTGTGTTTGTGTTGTCCTGTGTAGGTAGCGTCCTTGCAGCGAGCTGATCCCCAGTCCAAGGAGTCCTACCGAGTGTGTATACACAGTGTAGGATTAAGAAACTGAAAAAGCGGCCAAGATCCACAAGGGATGTAGAACCGTAGATGGATAAACAGATAGAAGAGATCATACTGATTTCTGCTACTCAACTATGGACACTGTAGCGTGCGGAGGAAAAGACACGCCGCGTGATTTTCACTGAACTTATGTCTCCTAGTCACCATTGATCTGATGTGTGTTATAGTCCTGACCACGCAGCACATTATCACAACTTCTCTCTTTAAGTAGGGGGTTTGATCTCTGATCCGGCACTTAATAGTCTTATTTTATATTCATTTATGTGTTTTATGGATTTAGTAGTTAGTTACGGCCTTGAAAACCGGAGTTTGATTCCCGACGTCTCAACTTGTTCTCTCATCCTATGTTTACGGTACGTTCCTTCCCACAGAGTAAAACGGCTAGATACGAAGGCTAGAATCATCTGCAGACAGTTTCGAGGTTAAGGCTACACAAAGCTGTACTTTTATTCCCTACATAAAATTTCATGACCTGATACCGCGCCGCAGTG